TATTAGCTATCAGTGTTTTAACTTAGAAAAATAGTTTTAATATTGTTTTTAAAGTTATAATAAACATTTTCAAATAACCTCAAAAAAGAGAGCAGAATAATAAACTTTCATGTTTCTATTACCCAGTTTGGTAACCATCACCATTTCATTATTCTTTAGATAAGTTTTTAATCTTTCATGAATTTGAAGAAACTCCTATACCCACTAATGGTGGATCCAAATTCATTAAACATTCCTGAATTTTCAAAAGAGTTTATCTTCTCCACTCAGGATGATTTAGTTCAAATTTAGTGGACTAACCTCAGGGAAATGGTGTCTTTTGTTAATGTCAAAGGTTTAATCTCTCTTTTTTTTCTTCAAAATCTAAGTTAGAATATCAAACCAGAAGGAAAGCTCATCCCAGCCACAACGGACGGTTTTCTTAATGGTCTTGAAGATGTCATAGAACTGCTCACATGTATAACAACATGAGTCGACCTTAAAAATCATTATGCTAAGCAAAAGAAGCCACATATAAAGGGCTACATAGTGTATAATTCTTTTTCATTCTTATGTTATTCTGAAAGAGAAACCTATAAGTGCAAAAGCCTGGAGGTAGAGATGAAGGAAGGAGATTGAATGCAGAGGGGAATTATGGAAATTTGAGGGATGATAGGAATACTGTATATTTTAACTGTCATGGTGTTTACATGATTGTATACATTTCTAAAAATTCATCAAGCTATACATTTAAGAAGGAAAACATTTACTACATGTAAGTTATATCTCAATTTACCCAATGAGTCTAATAGAAAGAATATCATTCCAAGATGTGATGGACCAAGTACAGTTACTATCTTCTTCCTTGACTGGGATAACATACAATTAATGAAGATTTAACTGGTGTTTGACTTAGGGTAATCATTTTATTGATTTTTTATCAAGCTTGTAATACATTAAAATATCTTATATGGGTCCAGGTCTTCTAAATAAATAAAGTACTGTGCATGAATTCTTTAAAAATTTCATCTGATGTATTTAAGTTTACCACATGAAATTATCAAGATGTTTCGGAATCTGCATTTGTGTACATGTGCATGTAATATTTTGTACAACTTAAGTCATCTAGAATTTAGCCAGCATGCTTTCTTTTTTTTTTTTTATCCTCACCTGAGGGCATTTTTCCATTTTTTGTTCAGGTAGCGTGTGAGGGAGAGAGAGGAACAGAGAGAGAGAGAGAGAGAAACATCGACGTGAAAGGAACACATCGAGTGGCTGCCACCCACACAACCGACCAGGGCGGGGGACAAACTGCAACCGAGGTACGCGCCGTAGCGGGAACCGAACCCGGGTCTCTCAGGACCGCAGGCCGACGCTCTAACCGCTGAACCAAACCGGCCAGGGCGCCAGCATGCTTTCTTTATTGAGAATATTGTTCTATGTAGAAAAAGCATTTTGAATTAGCTTTTGTCTGTTTTGTGCTGAGTTATAGGTAACATGAGATTTTTATATGGTAACAGAATCTAAATAAACTGATAAAATATAAAGATATCAAAGACTGATAACATATATTCATCTCTGTAAGTGAAGTTACACATATTCTGATGTTATAATTGTTATATTTTTTAAAAATTAATGTAATTTAATTTCATTTAGTAACACTACTGGTAAATTATTTTAAGTAAAACATATAAATTACTGTAGGGTTTTGTTTCTTTCAATTCTCTTAACCTTTATATGGCTAAGACTATTCATATATTTTAAAGAAAAAATATGTGATTTAAAATTTTTGTATGCGAATATACTTTATATAATCATATATGAAAATTTTAACATATGAAGATAAATAATTCCCATTTTTTTAAATTGCATATGCTATAGTTTGAACTTGTGATAATCCTATTCTTCCAAATAGTCCTATGAAACACACACACACACACACACACACACGCACAATCTCAACTAAAGGAAATTTCCTTTCAATACAGATTTCAATTCATTTTAGGTTAGTATATTGACATTTTCAATTACAGAACAAACAAATAAGGAGGTACATCTGCTATGTCACTATTAAATATTGAGAAACTATTATATTCTCAGATATTTCTATTAACATGAAATTTCTACAGATAGATATTTCTATAGATATGATACATCTTAAACATTTATTTTTTCTATTTATCTATAAATGTTAATAATTACATAGCTTCCAAGATTCTCAAAGTAGGAAAACTGTAACATAAGAGAAAAAAAAGACATAATTTTTAAACTAACTTTCCCCAATTTCTGTATATTTCAGCTACTTCTTCTTCTTAATCACCCACTTATTCAGAAATATCTTAACTTCCCAAGGGAGACATCTGCTCTGACTTTCCTCTTTTGAGTTTTTCTCAGGCAGATAAGAAAGTCAGAGAATTAAAAGCAATGTACAGAGCAAGAGGAATTTAATTACAGATGTGAATACAATTTAGGATATGCATATTGGGGTTTGGCTAATTTCAAATGTACAGATTTATCCATTTCATCTTTTATAGTGTCTTCTTTATTACACTACATATGGAAATGGAAATGAAAATTATTAACCCAGAGAATACTTTATGAAAATCATAAAATATTAGTTTGCAAAACATTTCAATCAAAAAGATTTATGGCTAATCAAAAGCATTGTTCATTATCTTTTGTTCTAATTCAGTTTCCGCGATACTTACTGAAAACTTTGTGGGCATAAAAAGGTCATTTCTTTAATTTTTTGTTTTTTAATCCTCACCCGAGGACATTTTTTGACATTTTGTTCAGATAGAGTGGGAGAGAAAGAGAGAGAGAGAAACATCGACGTGAAAAGGACACATCAAGTGGCTGCCACCCGCTCAACCAACCAGGGCTGAGGACAAACTGCAACCAAGGTACATGCCCTTAGCGGGAACCAAACCCAGGTCTCTCTGGACCGCAGGCCGACGCTCTAATCGCTGAGCCAAACTGGCCAGAGCAGAAAGGTCATTTCTAACACAGCTCTTACTTGGGGTTGGGAGAAAACCACCTTCCAGTGGTGGCATAATTGCTTTCATTCTGAGAAATAACAAAGCATTTATCTGCAGTGAAAGTCATTACAAGAATGTGGAAATAAAAGTATAAACTCTACTGCCCTGGCCGGTTTGGCAAAGCGGTTGGAGCGTCGGCCTGCAGTACTGAGAGACCCGGGTTCGGTTCCCGCTAAGGGCACGTACCTCGGTTGCAGTTTGTCCCCGGCCCTGGTTGGTCGTGCAGGTGGCAGCCACTCGATGTGTCCCTTCACATCGATGTTTCTCTCTCTCTCTCTCTCTCTCTCCCTCCCGCTCTAGCTGAACAAAAAATGGAAAAATGTCCTCGGGTGAGGATAAAAAAAAAAAATAAATAAAAAAAAAAAAAAGTATAAACTCTACTAATAAACAAAATTTATTACACAAAATGTGTAAACTTCTTTAAAACTAGTGAAAAGTGAATAAATAAAAAATTTTAAAAACTAGTGAGACATTACCCCAAACTACACAATTTTTTAGAAGTAAGTTACTTTGTAGGAAAATGCATGTTTGTGTTTTCCATGTTTTTCGTTTGTTTATTTTATTTTATTTTTTCTGTCACTATTTATCCCCTCTATGCCCTATTTCACCTCCCTACTCCAAGTTTTTTAAAACATTATTTTCTGAATATCTTGAATTTTGTTATCAGTATATTCTATCAGTTGAATACAGATCCGTCTTAACAATGTAGTTGAAAATATAAGTCAAGTCCCAAATTTACTCAAAACATGAATATGGGAGAAGAAATCGAAAGGAACTGAGTTTACAACAAAATGTAAAGACTGGCAGAATTGGGCACTTGGGAGCCAAATTCAATTTAAGAAATAAATTTACATTTACACACATTCTCTGTAACCGTACAATTCATACCTACAACTATAGCCATAATAGAGTAGTAAGTGAAAAATGTAAGGACATAAGAAATAGCTTGAGAGAATATTGATAAAAGCTCAGCAGTAGATCATTCCTTAAAATGCTTATAGATGGTTCTTTGCATATAAATAAGTACCAGCTATAACTTTAAATGTAAATGGATTAAATGCCCCAAGCAAAAGACATAGGGTAGTTGATGGATAAGAAAATATGGCCCATATATATACTGTCTACAAGAGACCTAACTCAGAACAAAGACTCACACAAGAAGAAGTGAAGGGATGGAAAAAATTTTCCATGGAAATGGAAACAAACAAACAAAAATGTTGAACAAAACAGACTTCAAGACAAAGAGACAAAGAAAGTCACTATACAAGGCTGGTGCAGCCATTGTGGAAAACATTATGGAGTTCCCTCAAAAAATTAAAAATGGAACTGCCTTTTGACCCAGTGATCCCACTTTTGAGAATATATCGTAAGAATGCCAAAACCTCATTTACAAAGAATATATGCACCCCTATATTCATAGCAGTGTTATTTACAATACCCAAGATCTTGAAATAGCCCAAGTGCCCACCAGTAGATGAGTGAATAAAAAGCTGTGGTACATTTACACGGTAGAATACTATGCAGCTGTAAAAAAGATTGAACTCTTACCTTTTACGACAGCATTAATGGGCCTGGAGATTATTTCGCTTGGTTAAATAAACCAGTCAGAGAAAGACAAATAGCATATAATCTCATTAAAATGTGAAATATACTGAACAAAATAAGTTAATGAACAAAATAGAGCTGGAGGCATGAATACATGAAACAGACTGACAAATGTCAAACAGGAAGTGGGTGGGTGGGACTAGATAAAGGATGGTGAAGGGATTAGCTAAAGAACATATATGAATACCCCATGGATGCAGACAATAGTGTGATGAGGGCCATAGAAGGGGGTACAGAGGGCTGGGTGGAGGTGGGCAAAGGGGGGGATGAGGGACATCTGTAATAGTGTAAACAATGAAAAATTTAAGTAAATAAAAATATATCAAGAAATGCCAAATTATAGTTGTCTAGTCATTTTATAACAGCAGTCGATCTTACCTCTGCTACCAGTTGCTGAAGAGATGGTGAAGCTACAGAATATAGACTTGAGTTACCCCTTATGGGACTATGGAGACTAACATAAGCTACAACATTTCTCTGCAGAACCTTCTTGGAATCCTGAAATTAGAACAAGAAAAATCTGCTCTAATATAAATAAAAATAAAGAGATTCTATTTAATTAGTTACATATTAAATAATAAACATTTTCCACTTAAAATCATTGCAGTGTACAAGTACTTTTAAAAAAAGCAATTTCATTCTATTAAGAGAGCACAAAGGCATAAAAAGATTTTAAATAAATGTGATGAGTTATCCATAACATTTGATAAAAATATTTTAAAACATGTTCTTGAGTCAAATTTTAAGAGAATATATTCTTCAATGGTTAACATATTATGAGATTCACCTCCAAACTACAATGGAATTTTTGGTTGAGTGACGGCACTTAATTTTATAGTCTTTGAATTAGAGAACAGACAAGGGAAAACTACTTCAGTGATTAATAAACCAACCCTTTCCTTTGAAGCAATGATCTACTTTTTGTACAAAGTGGCTCTTTATTCTGAGCAAAATGGAGCATAATACAATTGTGTCCCTGCACATATTACCTGAAATAAAACCTGATATATTTCACGCACATTACTAGCATAAAATGATTCAATAGAATAGTTTTTTTCAGTTCTCTGCTAAATTCTACCCCCTAAAATTAAGGACCGGTGGTTCTATTAATATAATACCACCACTTAAAAGTCCCTCTGATATTTTTCTCCTTTTCTTGAACAAATATTTAATGAGTAATTACCATGGTGGCAGCTCTATAGAAATATCCTAAAAATTCTATTACTACATGTCTTAGGTGCATACATTTCTTCTCCTAACACTATCAGATGAAATACTGCAAGGACTTATAATATCTAGGAAATCAATGTTACTCATATTTTATATTGAAAATTCAGCTATATCTCTGTAAGAGAGGTGAAAAGACAATTCATTTAAAATTAGTAAGTACTTTTAAAAAAAGGAAGGAAAAGTACTTTAACTCAAGTGCTCTACTTTACACATAACATTTTTTAAAAGTCCAGTGTTACACAAACTATAGAAAAACAGCTTCTACTTGCATACTAGCACACAGACACTGTCAATGTTAGTCCTTTTCATTCTCTGGAGACCCTCATGATACAGGCATTCACGTACTCATTTAATAAATCAAGTCTTGAGGAAGGTAATCTTGCCTAAGGCCATGTGCTTTGGAGTAGAAAAGATTCGAACTCAGACTTCTATGACTGTAAAATTTATAGTATTTCTGCAATAGCCAGCGAAATTTGAAGATTCCTCACAGAAGAAATAGTATTTTTTGAAGAACCTATTTAGTAAATTTAGTTACAATTCTCCCCAAGGATCAAGATCAGTATTGAGTCAATTCTCTAATAACTCTATCACAATAAAATTCAATTTTAAGTTTACTGACCTAAATAGCCTAATTGTTTTAATTACATCTGTGGATTTCAAGGAGTTCTTGTGCAAATGAAATTAAATAGGACAATATGACATGTCAACAAATTTTTTCCTCACCATCTTCACTAGGGAATATATTTAGAGCATAAATTGGTTTCTGTCTAAAAGAAACTGTTTCAGAGAAAGACAAATACCACGTGATCCTACTGATTTGTGGAATATAATGAACAAAATTAACTGATGAACAAACTAGACCCAGAGACATAGAAAGGAGTATGGTTCAGACTGACAAACCTCAGAGGAGGGGTGAGGGGAAGGGATGAGATAAACCACAGAACTTATATGCATATATGTGCATGTATGCATGACCAATGGACATAGACAACAACAAGGGAGAGGGGGCGGGATCAGGAGGAGGATGTCTAGGGGGGAAAGAGGAAACATCTATAACAAAAATAAATTAATAAAAATTGCAAAAAAATAAAGAAACTGTTTCATTCTTATGAGAGTAAATTTTGAACACGAAAACTAACAGTTTCTAAATTCCTCTTCAACTAGATAGTTACAAAATGGTTTCATAAACTGTACTGAAGTAATCTTCTAAAAGATGGTAACTTGCAATATTATATTTTAAAAGCTAATAATCAAATCAATATATTTTATTCAACATTTTCTTTACTCAAATATCTTTGCCCAAAAAGTCGTGAAAAAGCCAGAAAGTGGTTAAGTGCATAATTAGTTGTTAAATATGCATACATGCATGACTATTCTAGGATATGGGTTCCTCATCTTTTTGCATAAGAAGAGGCTTTTCTAACATGAACATTTGCCCCTATGGACTCCCATATTACTGTGATTTTAATGTGGGTATCTGTTGATTGAGAAAATATAAAGTTACCAAAAGGTACAACAATTGGGCAAAACTTAAAAATAAATTTTGTTACTTTATTAACCACAAAAATATCTACTTAATTAAAAAATAGAACTGCTCACATTCACCCAAGGCCACATTATTCATTCAACATGAAGGCTATGATGCATGATGCTCAGATAAATCCAAGGATTTTTTTGCAATGCACTTCCCCATGCACGGGGTTCAAGATATTATATGAGAGACATAAACCTGCTTTGAGAACACAGCTTAGAAATATACTTATTTCTTTAGGATTCACATAAATTTACTGGGAAAGGTTCTACATATCAAGAAGGCTGTGTAATACAGTAGAATAAATTTTTAGAATTTAAAAAGAATGTTTAAGACATTATCTTAAAATGTGTCTTATTGTTATAACAAAAACTAAAACAACCTGGCCCATGTGGCTCAGTGGTTGAGCATCGACCCATGCACCAAGAAGTCGCAAGTTTGATTCCAGGTCAGGACACATGCCCAGGTTGTTGGCCTGATCCCCAGTGGGGGCATACAGGAGGTTGCCAGTCAATGTTCTCTCTCCTGGATGTTTCTAGCTCTCTCTCCTTCTCTCTTTCTCTCTCTCTGTCTAACATCAATAAAGAAAAAGAAAAAAGAAAACTATAACATTGTTTTCTTTCTGACAATTACATTCTGAATTATTAAAGTCAGCCCAGATCACAAATATATTCCCCAAGTTGTTGTTTTTTTTTTTTTAACTTATTTATATTCTTGAAGTAAGTAATAGAAGCTTGAGAAGTTGTTTTAGCTATTACATTTCCTTCTTACTAAAAATTTACCAATTTAAAATGTTTCTTTCAGTAAGGGAATTTATTCATTTGAATTAGTTTTTGAATATAGAACAAGCATTCACTCCATTAATTTACATATGGAACAGCACTGTAATTTATAATCTCTGACTCTTGATAAATTTTACACTGTAAATGTTTTCTCAATTTTAAGTTTTCTTTTCTTCATATTAAAAACACACTTGCTATTTTCTTTTATATACTTTTTAGATATTTTCTTTGATATTCAATAGACATTTGATCTTTTTTGTGTGCTAACATTAAAAAAAAAAAAATGAAACGAGAATTTTCCAATAGACATTTAGAATTGTTCTCCAAAGCTGAGGTAGTGAATAAATTAAACTGGTTTTGTTTTCCTAGCTACCACTGGACAGGTTTCTTCTACGTGTTTCCACTGCACCTCTTGTTGTTGTTTTTTTGTTTTTTTTTTGTTTTTTATCCTCACCCGAGGACATTTTTCCACTTTTTTATTCAGATAGAGCGGGAGGGAGAGAGAGGAAGAGAGAGAGAAACATCGACGTGAAAGGGACACGTCGAGTGGCTGCCACCCCTATGACCCTACCAGGGCCAGGGACCAACTGCAACCAAAGTACATGCCCTTAGCGGGAACCGAACCCGGGCCTCTGTGGACCGCAGGCCGATGCTCTAACCGCTGAGCCAAACCGGCCAGGGCTGCACCTCTTTTTTAAAAAATCATGAAAGTAAATAGAATGTCTGAGTTTTACAATGTATTTATTATTGTTAATATGGCATCAATCCACTTATCAGCTGTCTTATTCTATTAAAAACTGTGCATCTGTTAGACACAGACATAGAAGCATTTGAAACTAAATACTCCCGTTGTTTTCTAACAATGACCCATTCATTTGGACAAAGGCTTCTTAAGGTAGTAGCTAGGTAGGCATTTATGTAGGTAGGAAGGAAGAGCAGGGAGATGAGGAGCTAAGTATGCAAGAGTTGAGAGAGGAAGGAATGGAGGGAGGAACAAAAAGAGGAGAAATTAAAAAACAACACTATTTTGACTCTAGTCCCTATATTGCATAGCTAAATTACAATGCTAAGATTATAAACATTTAAATGGGAGACCGTTTCCTTATTGTAGATAATTGCTAGAAAGTTTTACAAAGAAAGGTAATAGTATGTATCTCTTGATCTTTTCTCATCCTGTGACTGCCAACCTGTCCAAGGAGATACACAATAACCAGGTAAACACTGCTGTGGGCATATTAGAGTCTACAGATCTGGAAGCAACAAGAATAGATCCCACACAATTCACCGTGCACTACCGCTAAGTTCCCTTCCTTCTTCTGTTCTTCTGAGTGATTTTAGCAACCTAACAGATGTGGCACCCTGGTTGAGGTGAACATTCTTGTCCTCGGCTTCAACAATTTTACTTTGCCTACTGTAGTAAGAAAGAGAGAAAGAGAGAGAGAGAGAATAATAATGAATGTACATTTACCTCTCCCCATTCATATGAGCCAATATTGCCAAACACTGTTCCTCCCCAGGAACAGAAAACAATACTTCGGTCTGGTCTCCACCCTCTCTTCGCTCTTAGCATCAAGGCCTGGATGAAAGCTGTGATGACGGCAGTGCTACTGGCCCATTCCTGTCCACTGTAACCGGACGCAGTGTGATGGCGGCTGCCAACGACCACATACCGGTCTGGGAACAGAGAGAAACCAGAGCCATTAAAACAAAATATAAAGCTCAACAATAAATTTAATGACATTTACATAATCCTATAGCACGACTGAGGAACAATTATGTAAAACTGTTCTAATAATTAAGATTACTTTACATTTTTCACCCTTGTCTTGGTTCACACATCTGTGCATATCAAAGCAGAGGCAGCTGCTGAACCCAATTATGAATCCAACGCTTAGATTCATATTACTGTCCTCTGTAACATGCATATTAATTGATGAGAAATACAAATATGCCACAATGAAACCTTTATCTAACATTTTCCCAGAATCATAGTGGGAAGCGCCCTGTAAACAGTGTGCGTATGCTCAGTAAATATTAATGAACTATTAATACATTGAGGGAGCAGTTATTTAAAAGCTTTAAATATTAAAAATGTGGTAGTCATTTATGGATTTTGCAATAAATGAAGTATTTAGGGAATTAATTATAGGTTCTAATTTATAGTTTCAGCTTCTCTTCTTTCTCTGAAGAATAAAAAATCAACATCAATAGGCATCCAATGAATGTAAGTTTCTTTTTCATATATTTTATTTTATGTAATCATACAAAATCTATTAGATACACTACTAGAAAGGTCTCAATGAACATGAAGTAGATACTGAATGTACATTACTGACTATTGTCATCAACAAGGAAGTTAATATCATATTTCCAGGGCTTCCTCTCATTTTCTTATCAGTGAATGTTATTGATACAGAGGTAAATTTATTTGCTTAGTGGTCCTATACATTTGTGTAAAATTATTTATTTATTCAGTACCATTTCATTAGGACAGCGGTTCCCAACCTGTGGGTCGCAACCCCTTTGGGGGTCAAATGACCTTTTCACAGGGGTCACCTAGCACAGAACAATAGCAAAATTACAATTATGAAGTAGCAATGAAAATAATTTTATGGTTGGGGGTCACCACAACATGAGGAACTGTTTTAAAGGGACGTGGCATTAGGAAGGTTGAGAACCACTGCATTAGGAGATGTCTCAAAGATTGATTCTTAAGTGTGCACACTCTGAAGCCTGCCTGCATGGGTTTGAACCCTGACTATTCAACTTACTAGCCGGAGACCTTAGAAAGCTTATTTAACCTTTCTATGTCTTAATTTCTTTAACTATAAAACAAGAATAAAAATGGTACATACACCATTCAGTTGTTTTGAGCTTTAAGTGAGTTCCTATTTGTAAAGCACTTTGAACAGAGCCTGATACAGAATCAGTATTACATACATATGTGTGGAATGACTGAATCACCAGGTGACTCATGGGAAATATCACTGTGTGAAGCTATTTTAGTTTTCCACACTGATATTAGAGCCAGCAATGCCTTTGCTCTGCCAACACTTCATCAGCTATTAATTAACGGTGTACATAGTGAGGCTGCAAATGCAGGATCCCTGGGAATGTACCACTTATTGCCCAGACATGTATGAAAGTTCTGTTTGGAATTGTGTTTCTTCTAAATATATATCTAAACATCTGAATATTGACTATGTCTAATTTTAAGAGTAACTAAAAATGGTGTGATATCTTGTATAAAATTTAAATAAGATTTGAGAAGTTTTGCTGATACGCCCTGAAGAACACTAATGGTAAATTGATTTGATTTTTTTTCCTATATTGAATTTCAATAAAGTAAGATTTTACCTTAAAGCTAATATAATATTGGACAATTTGGTTTTTCAATAATAACTTGCAAATGCAGCAATGTTGATAAATGCAGGGGTGGATAAAGGTATGTTTACAGTTGTTCGTATGGAAAAAGGCACGGAGGTGATGATTATTACAATAGTTTTATTAACTCTGTGTTTCACATACTCACAACTATAAACCTACGTTTGCCAACCCCTGTATTTCTAATGTTTCAATTAAAGATCCATATGATGGGAATTTGTTAAAATGCATCAATAGCAATTTTCAAATATATTTATATCTTGTGTTTTGAGCAGAGGTTGGCAACATTGTAAGGAAATCAGAGAAAAGATATACCTCCCATTAATTTTGTGAGGTTGGCTGGCAAGAAACTGTGGGAATACAAAACCTGATCTCAGAAATCTCCAGGTTAGCCATTATAGGGTCAATCTGACTAAAGTCTCAGAGAAGAATAACTGTCCAAAGAGAATTTGAGTAAATGTCCCAACCGAATGCACAGAACTGGCACAGTGCCAGGAAGGCTGTTGCATTCTGCACTGTATAACAAGCCCGCCAGGCAGTAACATGGGATTCAACCTCACAACATACGTATTTGGAAGAGTTGCTATTAATCTCTTGATGTATGTGTCAGTTATTTTTACCTTTTTAGCCTGTATACACTATCTCAAAATTCAATCGGCATCCTAGAACAAAGGTTAAGTTTTTTAAATCTTAACCAGGTGAGCATTGTCATAAATACCTTCCAAACCTAGAGCCATGCAAACATTAGCAGAACTGTCAGTGGGCCGAGGGTCAGAGATGGGACATAGATTAACACTGACAGATTAGATTTGAAGACAAAAAAAAATTATGTAAAAAGAAACAACAATATTGAAACTGAAATATTTTATTTTATTTTCTAAATCTTTTCTTTCCTTATAAAAATGCCTTCAGCCCTGGCCGGTTTGGCTCAGTGGTTGGAGCGTCAGCCTGCGAACCAGAGAGTTCTGGGTTCGGTTCCCGCTAGGGGCACATACCAAAATAAATAAATAAATAAATAAAAATAAAAATGCCTTCAATGGTGCTATAGTGAATAAAAGAAAAATAGAGAGGACATCGGCTTTTATAGCTTTTCTTCACTAGGCACAGCCAGTTTAACAAATATAAACTCTGCTTTCTCTGTTTTGTTTTGATTTCCTCCTCACACTCTCTACTATAGTTTGTTTGAAGAGATATGCGAAGAAAGAAAATAAAGATTGACTTCCTAGTCTCATGTTGACCCCCTCTAACAGTGGTATAAATTCTGCTTACACATAAAGCAGGATCTATAACTATGCTATTAAATTATTATAGAAAAATTTTGTGTGATGTTTCACATAAAGGGTAGATTACAAATTCTTTAACATACTTACCTGGAGAAGTCAAGCCCTTTAAATAGCCAACAACGTTAGTAACCGTTTTGAATGTTGTGACTGTCTGGACTTGCATGTTGACAATCCTTTCTTCTGAAAAAAATAAATAAATAAAAGATGCTTGTTTCTCTACATTTTCTGCATATTTTCTTAAAACATTCAAATTTATTTATCCACTATTATCAGCAAAATAATTCTGAAAAATCAAATTTTTGTAGATAACCAAAGTTACACTTTTCTTTGACAAATATTTAATCAATACTTTGTGTAGACTCTCTCTTAGGTACTTGCTGTTCAGTGATGACTGATACACAATTACTAGCCTCATAGAACAGTAGAGCTGCAACCGGCAGTTCTAAATCTCATGTTTAGAGATACAATGGAGTGCAACATGAGAGCACACAGCACGGCCTTGGGGAGATGTGGACAACTCATCCTTTTAAAGAAAGAAAAAAAATAGATAAAAACACAGTCAAGGAATATTAAGTACTGCCCTGGCCAGTTTGGCTCAGCGGTTAGAGTGTCGACCTGTGGTCCAGAGAGACCCTGGTTGGGTTCCCGCTAAGGGCATGTACCTCCGTTTGTCCCCGGCCCTGGTTGGTCATGCGGGTGGCAGCCACTCGATGTGTTCCTTTCACATCGATGTTTCTCTCTCTCTCTCTCTCCTTCCCTCTATCTATCTGAACAAAAAATGGGAAAAAATGTCCTCGGCTGAGGATAAAAAACAAAACAAAACAAAACAAAACAGAATGTTAAGTACTTTTCTAATGTCAGAAAAAGATGTGGAAGATAATTTAAACTTTCCTGTATGATTCATTATTACATTATCACTTTGAAAACTGTAAAGCATTACACAAATTAAAAGAATACAGATTCAAAGGTAGACACATTTTTAAATATTGGATTCATTTCCACCTGCATTTGTAAGTCTTTCTCCTGTATTCTAAATCTCCACCAATGTTCTGCCTCTGTGAGTTCTACTATTCGTGCTTGACATTCAAAAATGTTGATGACAAATAAGGCAAAGACACCAATGAGAAGAGACTCTAGTCACAGCCCTAAAGTGATCTTCGAAGGTCTTTGATGGTAACATCTGTTAATCCTGTATCTAATGGATGCTGTAAGTCAGGGGGTTTATAGGAGAGATTCAAGGGCAGCTAGGTAGCAGTGCTGGGGTGGAGTGTGTGGGAGGCAATAACAAAACAGCTAATTCAAAATAGACATGCTCCAGTACCGACAGGCCTAGAAATGTCACCTCCGACTGCTGGATGGAAATGCTAGGATAAAGAGGCTGTTTCTTCCTTGAATATACCCTACTAACGACTTAAATGGAATATCAGTACACTGAACCTATTAAAATTGTAACTAAAACAAGAGTAAAGAGGCCATGAGAGATACCTGAGTGCCTCATGTATAAAAAAAAAAGAATATCTGTTTAGATCCTGATGTTGTGGTTTTAATTCCTATGCTATGCATTTTTACTTTAAATTAATATAGTTTGTTTTTTGAATTAGCTTCAGATTTACAGAAAAAAAATAACAGAAAATACCATTTTCAAATATCCTCTCTCCTGGCCCCGATCATTAACATCTTGCATTACTGTGATATATTTGTTGCCATTGATGAGCCAATATTAATCCCCACTGTTTCCATTAGGGTTCAACTTTGTTTTGTTGTAGTTGTCGTGATTTTTGTGAATTGTTTTTTTTTTTTAGAAATAGATTTTAAAAATAGTTTATTGTTTTGTTTTTTTAAAGAGGGAGATAGGAAGGAAGAGGGAGAGAAACATCGGTGTGAGAGTGAAATATCCACGGGCTGCCTCCTGCATGCCCCCTACTGGGGATTAAGTCACAACCTGGGCATGTGCCCTGACCTAGAAGGGACCCGACAACCTTTCTGGTGCATGGGATGATGCCCAACCAAGTGAGCCACAGCAGCCAGGGCTCACACTCTGTTTTGTACACTCTTATGGGTTTTGACTAATGCATAATGACATACATCCAACACTACAGAATAGCAATCCTATACATCATACACAATAGTTTCATTGCCCCAAATTTCTCCTGTGCTTTATCTATAAATCCTTCCCTTCCTCCCGCCCTGCTGAGCCCCTGGCAACCACTGATCTTTTAAATGTCTCTATATTTTTGCCTTTACAAAAATGTCATATAGTTGGACTCATATGTTTGCTTTTAATATTCGTTTAATTCCTGTTCTGTTTGTTCCAAATAGTCCAGATAAGTGAACATTAGATAAAAGAATTATTAGAGAGTTTTTAAAACTCTTTCCAGTTTCTTTTTTAGTTATACATGGGTAAAGAACTTTCTCTTAGAATAGATTTGATGTTAAATTTTTTTGTAATTCAGCAGTAAGAAAAGCTTAAAAATATATACAAATGTGCATATATATAATTAATACAGATGTGCAATATACTGCTTGAAATATTACCTTACAGCCCTGGCCAGTCTGTCTGAGTGGTTAGAACAATGGCCCTCAGGCTGAAGAGTCTGGGGTTGATTTTGGTCGAGGGCATGTACCTGGGTGGCAGGTTTGATCCCCAGCCCAGTGGGGTCCTGTGGGAGGCAGCCAATCGATGTGTTTCCAATATCAATGTTTTTCTCTATTTTTCTCTCTATCTCTCTCCCCTCCTTTCTCCCTCCCTTCCACTCTCTCTAAAAATCAATGGAAAAATATCCTTGGGTGAGGATTAACAACACCACAAAATTACCTTACATTAATTGAGTGCCTTAAAATTTATAATAGCTATTTTCACACATATACACTGATTTTCATTGGATCACAGTAATTCTTGAAACCACCAAGTTAAATAGCCTCATTATCTTCATTTATTGAATGAAGCACATAGGAGCAAAACTGGGACTCAAATCCGTCTTCCCATAAATAACAGTTTTATCTGAACAATAAAGAATCTCTATGTGTAAGACTCCATTTCTTAATGAGGAGAAATCCCTATATAAAATAACACAATATACAATGATGACCTAGTTTTAACTTGTTATTTCAGTATATTTTCTTCATCAGTACCCTTTTCCTATGAGGGAATAAATACAGTCTTATAGATTTAGTTCTTATTCTCTGGTTGTTAATCTTTTCCAGTTTTTTGTTATATAGATAGACTGAGAGAAAGATAGGTAGGCAGATAGAAAGATATAGGTAGATAGAGGTATCGGCACAGAGACATAAACACTCAATTATTTTATAGGCTATGCCCTTTTATACAAATTCTGTTTTTTTTCATTTAGCATTATATTTTTCATAATTTATCATGAAAGTGAATCGTGATCTGTATCATTCATTTTAACTGCTAAGAAGCATTTGGCTACAGAATCAAATCCAGTTTGTTTTATAGTTCTATTGCTGAGGTCACTGACAAATTTCCAACATAACATCATGGAAAAGAACATTTTTACATTTCTTATACATGGGTGCCATATGTTTTCAAATAGATAACTAGAAGTAGAATTTCTGAATTATAATATAGAATGGGTATCTTCAGCTTTATTGGGTATGTAGAAATTGCTCCATAGACTTTTAAATTCTAACATATTCTTGTGTATAAAAATCTCATTATTGTCTTATTTTGCATTGCCTTACTAGTCAGGTTCAGTAATTATTCACATATATATTCATAATTCCAGTTTGTTATTTATATTCTTTGACTTTTTTCTTTAAGTTGTTTATCACTTAGTCATTTTTGTGGGGTTTTTAATTAGAATATTATTCCCTTATTAATTATATGTAGTATAAATATGTTTCTATCTGTGATTTTCATTTTCTTGATATTTATTATATTTTAAAATATTAATATGGTCAAATTTAATGGGGGTATGTTTGTTTGTTTTGTTTTGTGTCACTTAGAAAACAATTATTTTGATGTCAAGAAAATGTTCTTCAAGTGTTTTAAAGATGAATTTTTAAGTTTATGGATTTAGTCCAGCCAGAATCTGTTATGAAGTAGACATTCAACTTTACCTCTGCCCTATGCATAGTCAATTATTCTCATGTAATTTATTGCTATATTAATTAAGATGTTGTCATATAAGATCTAATTCATACATGGATTTGTTTATAGCCTTGCTATTGCATTGTATTTTAACCAGCGCCACACTATTTAAATTAATATAACTTTATAATGGGTGAAATCATGGGTCTTCTATTATCACTATTATTACTATCATCATATAATTATTATTATTCAATTTTGGGGATATTTACAGAAAAATTATTTTCATATGAACTTATATATTAGTTTGCTATATTTTATGAAAAGACATTTCAGGATTTTATCAGGATTGTATTAAAGTAACAGACCCATTTGAGGAAATTATATTGAGTTTTCTATTAATGAACATGTGATGTCTCTCAATTTACTTCAGCTGTTTTTATGTCTTTTAATAAAGTTTTATTTTTCTCCATAAAAGTTTTGTGCAACTGTTATTAAATTTATTTTTACAGTTTCTTTGTTAATAAACTATAACATAGATAACTTATTCTATTGTGTAAAAGAATGCTATTTAATTTTGTATGTTGGTCTTACAATGGGCCTTCTTATTAATCTCCTATAGGTTCCAATAGTTGATCTATAGGGTTTTTATTTTCTTAATTTTAATGTAAACAATTACTTATAAAAAAAATGGTTGTGTTTATTCCTTTCAGACTTTTATAGCTTTGACTCTGTTCTTACCATCTTGCCTAGGACTACTGGTGCAGTGTGGTTCCGGGGCCGGGAGGGGAGCGCTCCTTGGTCCTTGCTCTGTGGTTTTCACTTTCAGAAGAATGTTTCCAAATGTTATTATTTAAAAAAAAAGGGGGGGGGGGGATTTGCTATATATTTCTGGAAAACTTCCTTTATCAGATTAGAAAGATTATTTCTGTTATTACTTTGCTAAGAGGTTTAATTGGGAGTTGTTAAATTATGTTTTGAGATAATTTTAAGATTTTTTACATTGCAATGTTAAATAAAATGCAAATATTCCTGGAATAAGCTCTGCTTTGTCATTCTGTATATTCTGTATCTTGTTGTTAGTATTTTTTGTATATTTGCATATATATTTATAATGGTTGATAATTTCACTTCTCATTTGTTCTTTTCTGACTTTGATATCTGTATTATACAATCTCACAAATATTTGGAAGTCTTTGCTTCTTTTCCTAGATTTTGAAACAGTTTATGTAGCATGGGCAGTCATCCATTTTACAAAGGAGTATTAGGGTTCACACATAAAACTATTTGGGTCTGGTATCTTCTGAGTGTGTGTGTGTGTGTTGGGGGGGGTAAATGATACATTTTCACTTAATGCATATTTTATTTTATTAATATTTGTAAATAAATATTATTAAAATGATTATAAGTATATTTAGATCTTAAAGATTATTTTCTTCTAAATTTATTTGCATTTAGTTATTCATTCTATTCTTATACTTTAAAAATTCATTGCCATTTAATGCTATTTTGTTTTATTTTCTATTTCTAACATTAACTTACTTATGCCTTTCCCCCTCATCATTTTTGCTAGAAGAACGCTAATTTATCAATATTCTCAAAGAACCAGTTTTGCAGTTTATAGATAATCATTATTTTTTTCACTTCAATATTATTTTTTATGCTTAATATAGCTTTGTTAGATTTCACCTAAATATATTCTCCTGTTTTTCAGTTAACTTAAGTTAAATGCTTAGCTCATTACTTTGCAGTCTCTTTCTGTCATCATATAGATATACACATTTAAGCCTACAAAATTTTTCTATGTAGCAGTAATACATTAATTTTGATCTATGGACTTACTATCTTACAGATTCTAACATTTTAAATTTCTGTTATAATTCTTTATATATTATATGTATTAAAGTATTTATTTATGTTTTAATTAATTAATTTACTTATTTATTTTTGTTACAGATGTTTCTCCTTTCCCCCCCACTGATACCCTCTCCCCCACCCTCCTTGACCTGTCCCCAGCTTTGTTGTCCATGTCCATTGTTCATCCATACATGCTTATAAGTCCTGTGGTTTATCTCTTCCCCCACCCCCTCTTCTGGGGATTGTCAGTCTGTACCCCACTTCCACGTCTCTGGGACTACCCCATTCCTCAGACTGTTATGTTCATTATATTCCACAAATAAGTGAGATCATGTGATATTTGTCTTTCTCTGCTTGGCTTGTTTTTCTTAGGATAATACTCTCCAGTTCCCTCCATGTTGTCTCAAAGGGTACGAGATCTTTTTTTCTTACAGCTGCACAGTACTCCATTGTGTATATGTACCACCGCTTTTTTATCCATTCGTCTACTGATGGACACTTGGGCTGTTTGCAGATCTTAGCTATTGTAAATAGTGCTGCTATGAACATGGGGGTACATATATTCTTTCTGGTTCTTAGGGTATATTCCTAGAAGTGGGATCATTGGGTCAAATGGCAATTCAATTTTAATTTTTTAGGTAACACCATATTGTTTTCCATAGTGGCTGCACCAGTCTGCATTCCCACCAGCAGTGTACTAGAGTCCCCTTTTCTCCACACCCTCGCCAACACTGGTTGTTTGATGATTTGTTGATGGCGGCCATTCTGACAGGTATGAGGTGAAAAAATACTGAATGCTTCACGAATTTGCGTATCATCCCTGCACAGGGGCTATGCTAATCTTCTCTGTATTGTTCCAATTTTAGTATATAATCTAAAAAGTGTGTTACTATTTTAATATTAATATCTAACTAAATTATGTACAAAAAGCATGGTGTCTATGCAACTGATACTTTGATATTAGGTGAAATTTGTTTTGTGACTCTATAGGCAATTATATCTGATGAATAACATGGCTGCAGCATTCCATATACATGCCCAGTACATCAATCTTGAAAAATGTATGGCTATAACTTTATTAATTGTTCTACATATTTTCTGTTAAATTATCGATACATGATAAGTTTTCCCATGTAACATTAACTTATCAATTTATCCTGGCCATACCAAAATTTCTTTTTGTATATTTTTAGACTAGTTTCTTGTATATAGTTTAGAATTGCTAAGGCTTTCTGATTTCTATTAAAAATACATCCTGGTCAGGGCACATGCCTGGTTGTGGGCCTGATTCCCTGTGGGGGGCATGTAGGAGGCGGTCAATCAATGTTCTCTCTCATCGATGTTTCCATCTCTCTCTCCCTCTCCCTTCCTATCTCTCTAAAATCAATAAAGGAAAAAAAAAATTTTTTTTAAAGTGATGCCTTATATATTGTCTATCCCAATATTTCTCTACAGTCTGCCCCCCTCCCTTTGATATTAATATAAATACTCCAGCTTTCTTTGGCTTTGTGTGTATATATTTTCCCAGCATTACATTTACTTTTACCAGGCATCCCAGGGACATCTCTGGATTACAGACAATTCTTATGAGAATTTCCTGGCTTGGAGTTTCTATACTACAATCATAACAATTGTGATCCAGAAAGTTTGATTTCTAAAGACAGATTTTTGTGTTTTTTTTTTTCGTCCAGAGCTCAGGCAAAAGAAAGCATCCAGTGGGTGGATTTCTTTATAGCCTTCCTACTTTCAATCCACGGTCTTGGTTTTATATAAAAATGTTAGTTACAACTCCCTCCTCCTTGTAGGCACATAATCATGACTTCTGTTCCAATGTGACTGCTGCATTCCCGACCTAATTCACCAGGACCCATAACCGACCAGCATCAGGCAACCACGGGGTCAGGCTTTTGCTTATTTCTTTGATTCTTTGTTCTGCTTTCATTTTTGCTTCCGATATGTGAAAATCCTTTCTGAAGATTTGTTTTTTAAAACATTTTTTTCGGAACAAAAAATGGCGGCGGAGTGAACGGAGCTACACAGACCGTCTCCCAGAACCAAACTGGAATTACAACTATAACACAGACAAATCGACGGGAAAAACCAACAGAAAAGCAGCTTGGAGGACCATACAACGAGGGACACTGACTCCATCCCGGTAGGCTTGCGAAGGCACGAGACGGGGCTGGGAGCCCACGGTCGGCAGCTCGGCAGCGGCCTCAGCTGGGAGCAGCGCCCTCGGGTCACACTCCCAGGCGGCCCCACAGCGCAGCCGGGACAGAGGCTGAAACAGCCACAGCCACTCACCTTGGGCTCCGGCGGAAGGAGGGCAGACTGGACTGGAACTGTGTGGGGACACTCGGGGTTTGGGGGGCACTCAGAGCTTTTGCTGAGTGGCAGCCATGCAGGATGGTGGCCCTATTGCTCCTTCCCAGGGCTCTGGGGAGAGGCAGCAGCCCCTCCCTCGGAGATCCAACTCCACCCTGTGGGCCATTGAAGTGCTAATTGAGGCTCATTAACAACCAGCATCTGCCCCACCCTCGTGAAATACCCTTGTGCTGAGCACCTGAGGGAGTTTTTTAATCAACTGACAACCCAAAATTCATCAAGTAACCTCAACTGCTAGCCTCCAGGCAAAAAGCTAGAGGATAACAGGACCTTTCCTGGGCTAGCAACTTTAACCAGGAAAGTAAGACTTGACAGTGGTGTTTAATGTGGGTCCTCCCTCGCTCATCTAAACACAGGAGAGGGAGCCACAAACAGCAGAACACCAACACCCACAGGGAGAACTTGACAGGCTCCAAAGCCCACAGTGATAGCCAAAATGGTGAAGCACAGAAACAGAAGCCAAATGAAAGAACAAGAGACCTCCACCGAAGATGAGATCAATGTGGAGCAATTAGGCATGTTAACAGAGCTAGAATTCAGAGCCATGATCTTGAGGAAGCCGAACAGCATGAGTAAGGACATAGAGACACTGAAAATAAGCCAAATGGAAATTAAAAACCATCAAGAAGAGATAAAAAATGATGTATCAGAAATGAAAAACACATTGGAAGGTTTAAAAAGCAGAGTAGAGGAAGCTGAGGACCCGATCAGTGAATTAGAAGACAGGGTAGAAAAAATCAACCAATCAGAAAAACAAAAGGAAAAAACTATTAAAAAACAGGAAGACAGCTTAAGAGAACTGTGGGACAACTGGAAACGTAATAATATTCGCATCATAGGAGTCCCCAAAGAAGAAGAAAATGAGCAAGGGATAGAGAATATATTCAAAAAAATAGTGACGGAAAACTTCCCTAATTTGGTGAAGGAAGAAGGAATTCAAGTTCAAGAAGCACAGAGAGTCCAAAGTAAGAAGAACCCAAAGAGGCCCACATCAAGACACATAGTAATTGAAATGTCACAAATTAAAGACAAAGAGAGAATCCTAAAAGCAGCAAGAGATAAGCAACAGGTTACCTACAAAGGAAACCCCATAAGGCTCTCAACTGACTTCTCACAAGAAACACTACAGGCCAGAAGGGAATGGCATAAAGTAATCAAAGTCATGAAAAACAAGAATCTGAATCCAAGACTACTCTACCCAGCAAGGCTATCATTCAAAATAGAAGGTCAAATAAAGAGCTTCCCAGACAAAAAAAGGCTAAGGGAATACATTAGCACCAAACCAGCACTGCAAGAAATGTTAAAAGGACTGCTGTAATTAGCAGGAGAAATCGGAAGCAAAATAGAACCACACTAAACAAAAATGGCAATAAATAAGTACATATCAATAATCACCTTAAATGTAAATGGATTGAATGCTCCCATAAAAAGACACAGAGTAGCTGATTGGATAAGAAAGCATGACTCATCTATATGTTGTTTACAAGAGACCCACCTCACAACAAAAGACTCACAAGAGTTGAAAGAGAAGGGATAGAAAAAAATTTTCCAAGCAAATGGAAAGCAAAAAAAAGCTGGGGTAGCAATACTCATATCTGATAAAATAGATTTCAAAATGAAGACCATAACTAGAGACAAAGACGGCCACTACATAATATTGACAGGATCTATCCAACTGGAAGATATAACCTTGATAAACATATATGAGCACCAAAATATATTAAAAATCTTCTGGAGGACTTCCAAGGAGAAATTGACAACAATACATTCATAGCAGAGGACTTCAACACCCCGTTGACAGCACTGGATAGATCCTCTAGGCAAAAAATTAGCAAGGAAACAGAGACTCTAAATGAAGCACTAGACCAAATGGATTTAATAGATATCTACAGAGAATTACACCCCAAAACTACACAATACACATTCTTCTCAAGTGCACATGGGACATTCTCAAAGATAGACCACATGATAGGACACAAACTAAATCTCTACAAGTTCAAGAAGACTGAAATCATATCAAGCATCTTCTCAAATCACAATGGCATGAAACTAGAAATCAATTGCAACAAGAACATTCAAAGACATTTTAACACATGGAGGCTAAATAGCATGTTATTAAACAATGAATGGGTCACCGAGGAGATCAAGGAAGAAATGAAAAACTTCCTGGAAACCAATGAAAATGAACACACAACAACCCAAAATCTATGGGATGCAGTGAAAGCAGTTCTGAGGGGGAAGTTCATAGCACTACAGGCCTACATCAAAAAGCAAGAATAATTTCTAATTGACTGTCTAACCTCACAACTTAAAGAATTGGAAAGCAAACAAAAAGAAAACCCCAGAGCAAGTAGAAGGAAGGAAATAGTGAAGATCAGAGCAGAAATAAATGACATAGAGACCAAAAAAACAATTCAAAGGATCAATGAAACAAAAGGCTGGTTTTTTGAAAAGATAAACAAGATTTATGGACCCTTAGCTAGACTCACCAAGAAACAAAGAGAGAGAACCCAAATACACAAGATCAGAAATGAAAGAGGAGAAGTAACAACCAACACCACGGAAATACAAAAGATTGTTAACAACTACTATGAACAACTATATGGCAACAAATTCGACAATCTAAGCGAAATGGACAAATTTCTAGAAACACACAGTCTCCCAAAACTGGACCGGGAAGCAATAGAAAACTTGAACAGACCAATAACAACTAACGAAATTGAAGAGGTAATCAAGACTCTCCCAGCAAACAAAAGTCCAGGCCCAGATGGCTTCACGGGGGAGTTTTACCGAACATTCAAAAAAGAACTAACACCCATTCTCCTCAAACTATTTCAAAAAATCCAAGAAGGAAGACTTCAAACATGTTCTATGAGGCCAGCATAATTCTAATTCCAAAACCAGAAAAAGACACTACGAAGAAAGAAAACTACAGGACAATATCCCTGATGAACATAGACGCCAAAATCCTGAACAAAATATTAGCAAATCGGATCCAGAAATACATCAAAAAAATTATTCACCATGACCAAGTGGGATTCATTCCAGGGACGCAAGGCTGGTACAATATTTGCAAATCAATAAATGTGATACACCACATAAATAAGATGAAGAATAAAAACCACATGATCATATCAATAGATGCTGAAAAAGCATTTGACAAAATCCAGCATCCATTTCTGATAAAAACGCTCAGCAATGTGGGAATAGAGGGATCATATCTCGTCATAATAAAGGCCATATATGAAAGACCTACAGCCAACATCATACTCAATGGACAGAAACTAAAAACATTTCCATTAAGAACAGGAACAAGACAGGGATGTCCACTTTCGCCACTCTTATTTAACATACTACTAGAAGTCTTAGCCACAGCAATCAGACATGAAGAAAAAATAAAAGGGATCCAAATTGGAAAGGAGGAAGTGAAACTGTCATTATTTGCAGATGACATGATATTATACATAGAAAACCCTAAAGACTCCATCAAAAATCTACTA